ACTGTGAACAATTTATGCCAACAAATTGGATAACCTAGAAGAAATGGATAAATTGCTTCACATATACAGCTTTCTAAGACTGAATCATGAAGAAATAGAAAATCTGAATAGAAAATAACAAGTGAGGAAATTGAATCAGTAATAAATCTTTATTAAGAAAAGTTCAGGACCTGAATTTCACTGAGGCTTCACTGCTAAATTCGACCAAGCATTTAAAGAACTAATATAAATCCTTCTCAAGCTCTTTCAAAAAACTGAAGAGGAAGTACTTCCAAACTCATTTTATGAGGCCCGTAGGTATTCTCTTCAACTTTGTTTTCATATCCATTGTTTATTTTACTATTGAGTTGTTTTTGTCTGCTTCTTATTTGGAAGAGTTCTATATGTGTTTTGGATGTTGTCTTTGTTATATGCTTTGTTGATATTGTAGGGAAGACAAAATTTTACCTCTACCCTTTTAGGGTTTTTTGGTTGGGCCTGAGGATTAAGTTTACATAAGACACATCAACTGGAGAACATCATACACATTTTCAAATACAAGTTTTACGTGGCACAGGAAACTTCATAAGGAAATGACAAACCAAAGATGAGTTGGAGTTGAGCCCTTATGTACTGAATCTGACAGAGTAGAAAGATGAAAGCAAAGAGACTTCGGCTACGGTAGTTATTTGGGTGGAGGGGTGTCCAGGAAGATAAGATTAGTTTAATAAGATTTGTTTGTTCACATTTTTCTTGATCTCAGCTTCCATCCTTGATAATAAAAATGTTTACTTTCCTTCTTGTATAGAGATGACATTTTTCACTTGAGCATTTTGTCTCCTACTTTTAAGAAAAAGAAGCAAGTTCAGAAAGCTTCTGTTTTTCAAGCACTTTTAATTCAATTTTTCACTATGGCAGCGCGGCATAATTTGGGGTGGCATGTCCTTAACTCCTTCATTGTCTTTTAGTGTGCTCCATTTTATGTACTTTCACTGGATACATTTCTCTTACATTGTTCTGCCAGCAGTTATACGTAAGACCTCTCTATTAAGTCTTAGTCTGGTATGTTCACGTACTCCTGGACATCTTTACTTTGATGTCCCATTGCTGTCGCCTCATCGGTTTTTAAAATAGAGCGCATCATGTGCTTTCTCATTTATATTCTCAGTGTCAATGATAACATTGTTTGTTCAGTTACTGAAGCTAGACAACCAATGGTTATCCTAGAGTCTCTTTCATTGCTTCCTCTTGCAATCCATATCCAACTCATGCCAATTTTACTGCCTGAGTATTTTCATTTTAATTTGTTCTTCTTTAGTAGCCCGAAGAAATGACACTAAGGTAAGTAAAAACTTCTGAGGATATGGAATAAATAAAAATAGACTAGCCAAGGTTAAACCTTGGTGACCATATACCAGAAAATAATGAGAGAGAGAAATCGAGGCAATTATTAAGATTCAGTATTGTATAGTGACTGAAGACTTTTATTCTGGAATCAGACCATATTCAAATTGCCTTCATTTGTTTTATGAATTATTTTTATAGACATACATACATTTTATCAACAAACTAAGTGAAACATACCTTGAAAAATATTTAACTCTCCTTGTGAAAATCTTGGTATATTGAAATATTTAATCCAAGTCAGTTTTTCTTCAGGGCTTGCCTATTTAGTAGTCACTCAGTATATCTTTCTACTTGCTATTTTTCTACTTGCTAATTTACTTAATTAATTCACTGTGAAAGTTCAGGCTCTGGGTGGGAAAGAAGAGGACAAGTGAGTTGCTACTGAGGTTTTCACAGTTCATGTATGTGTGTGCATGCGTGTGGTGGTAAATGGTGGGTTGCAGTTCAGTTTCACTTCAACTTTCCACATAGAGCTAGCTTAGGCATCCTCAACTGTGTGTAGACTTTCAAGCACTCAACAATATGAAACAACTATACATTTGTGTGTGGGTGCATTTCTAAGTAGCATATAGTAATAACAGGGTGGAGTTGGTTGTTTATATCTGTTACCTATGTTTTTTCTTCTATGTTTGAGCTCTATTTAGGTTTTTTTGAGAGCATGCATTCTAAAGTGTCGTTGTTACATGTGAATTTGACTATAGCAAAACACCTACTATACTACTACTACGGTTTTTAATCTAATGAATATGTTTGCTTTCTTAACAACATAAGAGGGAGAAAAGAAAATGTTTTTCACGTTTTTTTAAAGGGGGAAATTTTTAAAGCTTGAATTGTATAACAACTTTCCAGCAGTTTTATACTGCTACGGTTTAACCTATGATAGATTCATTGAGAACCATTGACTTCATTACATGGCAGATACATATGGCTTCATTACATGGCAAATATTATTTTGGCCTTTTCTTTCTTTGGAATTAACTTTATAATTTGAATCTGCCTGACAATTATGTTATATAGGCTGTTTTTTACCTTTAAAAGTCCTATTACAATGTTCCATTGCATAAAACAGATGAAGGTATTAATTTTATAACTTTATGGAAAACTATCATAGCACCTGTGGTTGACTGTCAGATTTGAAAATTATCTAACAGTGATCTAACAAGAAGCAGGCTTTAAAAAATTGTATTATTACATTTATCACCACCCTTCGCCCCAAAACAATATTTTATTTTAGATAGGGAAAGAGAAAGGAAATTGATATTTTTGATTCTTACTCTTTATTATGTGTTATTTAACCTATGTAATCTCATTTTATAACTAAGGAAACTAACACAGAGGGATTTCAGTATCTCACCTAAGTTCACACAGCCAATTAGTGCTTTTAATAGACCTATCTTTTCTCCAGTGATAATAAAACATCTAATTAATTAAAAATGTAAAGTCTATTTAAAATTGTAGATTATTATGACAATGACATATCATATACAATTCAAATACAAGTGCTCTGAAAAATGTGTAACTCTTGCTTTTCATTGTATTCTTGTGAAATACAATCCTTCTTTTGTTCATCAGAGCATTAGAACATTGAACATTTTGAACTCCCTTCATATATTAGCCAGCTGGCGTGTTTTCCTAGCAAAACATTTTGTGATTTGACCACAGACTCTCCAATCAGTTGTTACTGGTTTGAATAATAGAATATGCTGTCATGGTGGGCACCTGATCATGAAAACTGATATCTGGAGTGCATTTTTATTTGGATTTTAAATGTTTTTACAATCCCAGTATAAACACTGTTAATCTAGTCAAAATCTTTTCTCACAAGAGCAAGAGTTTTCATAGTTTTACTTTAACTAGTTATAGTCAACAGGATAAGAATAAATTATACATGAACATTAGACAAAATCTTAATTTATTTTAAACATGAAGAATATTATACTAAAAATAGTTTTAGGAATTTCCGAGATGAAACAATTTAGTTTTGAAACTCTAAAACTGGATTTATTTAATTTAGATACCATTTGTAAATTTTCTAGTGTGTAACCTTCATGGCATTAGAAAGTAAAGTATGTAAATTTTGGTGTAATGCTGGGAAATTGCAAATCTGTCTTATATTTGAGTAATAGAGCAAAGGTTTGAGATTTACTGTTTTTTTTGGTTGTTTATTGATCTAGTTTCATGAAATATAATTGATTTCCATATTCATGATATAATCTCCTACCTAAGGACAATGAGGATAATTTTCTTGATTGTGTCTATAAATATGAGTAAAGAGCTACTTATTTTAAGACAGTCTGGACAGTTTGTCTTAAATTTGGATAGTAAGTGGTAAACATAGGTAATTATTATAAAAAATATAAAAATATAGATTTAAATGTGTAAAATATATAGAAAATAATGTATTATTTGGGTGTGTTTGGTTTCTTTCTGTTATTATTTGTTGAATAAAGATGATGTTACAGTTTAGTTGTTGTGGATCTAAGTTCTACTTAAATACCCACCCATCTTTAAATGCAATTAATGGATAGGTCTTGGTGTTAGCAGAAACTACTACTATATTACAGAAACTTAACTGTGGAAGACAGCATCATATTACATTTCACAAGCCATATTTGGATATTTGAAAATATTTGATACTCATGCTGCTTTGGAAAGTATCAGAATATTCTACTGAATTAGGGCTGATTTTTTTGAAAGTGCCATTATTAATATCTGGAATATTAATGAGAGAGCAATCAACAAGAAACCAACCAACCAACATGTCCACTGAGAGAATTTATCACATGGATACTGAATAAGAGACTTTAAAGATAGACTTATAGTCAGATAAAATATTGATGTGCAATTATACTGGTAACATTAGTGGGTCTCTAAGCAACTGTATGTCACTGTAGCCAGATTCCAATCTGTTTTATTTCTTGTGGGAAAAACAGAAAGAGAAAGAAAAAGAATAATTTAGCTTTATTAGTAACCTCTGACAAGTTATAGAAAGAAACCTGACTAAGGCCTTTTTATACTTGCTTGTTAGTTTTATGTGTTCATGAGTTGAGATGAATCAAAATTATTTTCTGGCTTGAGGTTTTAGCATGGATGTTTTGCTTCCTTTATAACAATAAAGAAATGAAATATGTTTTCAAAAATGTATTCTCTATGACCATATTTTAAAATGAACACTTGGAATATTGTGTTATGTGGGAATTCAACATAGCATTAAGAATTTTAAGTAAAAGATTAAAAATGCATTATCTAAAAGAACAAGAAGGAACTAAAAATTAACAGAGTCAAATGTTTCCCCAGTCAGTAGTACTTAAGTACAGCTTATCGCCCACCCATGCCTCTACTTTAGGGAGAGGAAATTTAGTGAATTTTAGGAAGTAAGACAATGGCTATGTATTTTGCCTTATTGTACATATTTTATAAAATTATCAAACCTTTTTTCTTTATATATGGTTTCTAGAATTGCTCCATAGCTCAACTTGAATGTTCTCTTCAAACCCACATGTAGACTTTACTGTAACAAAATTTAATGTGTATTTCTTATCTCATATTATAAGTTAATGAATATTCTGGCACCCAACTTTGTCTTTTTATTTTTTTTGCATCGTCTCTTTCAGCACAGTGGAGAATTTACAGTCTCTCTTAGTGATGTCTTACTGACCTGGAAATACTTACTCAATGAGAAGTTGAACTTACCAGTTGAAAATATGAAAGTGACTGACCATTATGAGGACATTAAGAAGTCTTATGATGATTTCTTGAAGAATAGTAATATGTTGGATCTGATTGATGTTTATCAAAAATGTAAGGCTTTGACTTCTGATTGTGAAATTAATAACACAATATCTTCTGTAAGTATTTTTAAAATGATTCTATTTTAATCAAATTAAAATTCAGCTATATTTATATTTATTTTAAACTTTAATATCACCACTTAGAGCAACTTGATAATGATTTTACTTTTGGGATCATTTTAAGAATGGAAAATTTAGCTACCTGAAAGCTAGTTATTACTTGAAAGAAATCTTTTGGTGGCAAATTTTGCTGGATTTGTGTTACTGTTATTTGGTCGGTATATAATCAACTTCTTGCTAGATTAGAACATTTGTAACAAGGAAACTAGTCTCAAATGCTGGATTTCTTTTTGAATTATGTCAAAGATTGCTTTTCTATTTTACTTTCTTGGTTTAATGTGCATCTGTTCATTTGGCATATATTGTATAAAAGATTGGTATGATTCTCTGGATTAAGAATATTATTTTACTATAGGGTATCATTAATATTGAGAATAATATGATGCAATATACATGGGATAATAGATTATACCTTTTTTGCACAAGCATATTTTTTAAATGGGGTGTAAGTTTAAAAATTAAATGGAGTAGCATACCTTGCAGTTTGAGTTTTGTCTGCATTAAAATTTATAAACTGTTTTGAAATATATTTGGATATATCTAGTCTTTTAAAAGTGTTGAAAATGCTTGTGGATGACTTAACATTTACTGAGCATCAATAAAGTAGTAGTTAAATAGTGATAATAAATGATTGGGAACTAAAAGAGAAATGTTTACTATATTTTGTAAGATACTCAAATATTTTATAAACATTTCTGTATAATATCTGGGTATAGTATTTAGCTGAATTAATATAAACCACTATAAGTGTGATGTAGAACTTATTTCACTTTTCTTTAAAAGATAACTAAAGTTATGTAACCAGAAGCAATAGCTCCTTGGTTATCAGAGACTCAGGCTTCTTCTGTTATTTTGCTCACCCATCTTCGTCCTTGACTTCTACCCCCAAGACCATCTTGTTTTGTCCAAGATTGCTGTTGGGGCTCCAGACATTATATCAGTATTCTTTGCAGCCGGAAGTAATAAGGGAGAACAGCATTCGCCTTTTAAGAAGACATAGCTCTTTTTCTTCATTTCATTGCCCAAAGGGTAGTCATAGAGCCATAACAGGCTGTGAGGGAGAGTAGAGGATATAATTCTTATTCAGGGTAGTAACTTGCCAGGATAAAACAAAAACTCTGTTACTAGGGAAGATAGGGAGTATGAATATTGGCAGGCAGCTTGCTATCTATGCCTCATTTGGTCTATTATAAAAACCTTTGCCCTGATGTAATTTGCTTAACACACATGCATATACACATGCACATGTATACCCACACATGCACATCCACACTATGTTAAGGATACTTGTGAGTGAAGATAGTTTTAAAATTTCGTAGCTATATTTCATTTGCTTGTTTCTAGAGATAATTTTTGACAACATTTCACATAGTTGATTTAGAGAGGCTAGTTATACCTAAGTATTGGGTTGTAGGAACAACAAAGAAGATCTTCTGATAACCAGTGATGGTATAATCTACCTGAGGTCTTTGGGTACATTGTTTTTATTCCATTTTTCTGTCCTTGTCTAAGTCCTCTAATAAGTCTCCTCATTTCTAGTATGTTATAGTTATGGAATGAGATAAATCAGGATACACATTTGAGGTTGTCTATGTGGGAGACTGCCTCCAAATGTCAACATGTCTCCTTTGCATAACACCAGGATTGAAATTGAAGCTGTTAAGATGGTAGTACATGAAGTAGAAAATATTTCACATTTAAATCCTGGAGGCTAACAACTTGATCTCTATACCTGTGTTTGCTCTAGGGAAATTTCTAGTGAGGAAAAGTAGACAGACAGAAAAATATATCCCTAGATTGACTGCTCAAAAATGCATTAAGTACAACCCTAATTTATGCTGAGTCTTTTAAAATACATATATCAGGATATTCTATGCGGTACTGGATATCATGATCCTGAATTTTCATGACTTTGATAAAGTTTCTTTGTTTCTTATTTGTTATAGCTCAAATAAGGCAGGAATTATGAAGAATTAAGATAAAGCTAAGACGGCAATTCTGAGAACTTGGTAACTTGAATATTGCCTTGTTCTCTACTCCCTATTCATAATTTCTCTCCTGAGGGCCCATGGGCATCTGGGAGCATATAAGGCCTTGGTTGCAACTGAAGTCTAAGTAGAGATTGGGTACAGGCTTGCTTTCTCATGAACTGAGCAAATATCTGGAAGACTGCATCAAAGACCTGGGGTGAGGATCAGAAATGTATATCCTGAAAAGAGCTTAGCCTTAGAGATCTGTGGAACCTCTGGGGAAGGTCAGTAAGTACCCTCTGTGTATGTGCCCAGATTTCCCTGAACAGCAAGCCAAGGTAGCTAAATGGATGAGCTTACTTCCTGTTGGTGAGGCCTGGGAGAACACAAGATTTTCCTTGGCGTCAGCAGGTGACTGGCAGCCTGTTTGTTTCTCCATTGCTGCGTCGTAGGCATAAAGACCATTTCATCTCCCATTATTTGTAGAACTGTATCATTTAAGGTACCTCAACAGTCAGATCTGAGCCCCATAGCTCCAATGAATCTAAGGGTTCCCAGCAGCTGGAGAAGGATGAGTCAGCTGACAACACATGCCCACAGAACACAGCTGCCAGAGGGGAATGACAGTAACTTGAGTACCTCAAAATATTAAGTAGCTAAGAAAATTCAAGGCTAGCACCTCAGCATATAACTAGTCCTTACAAAATAAAGAAAGAAGACACCCTGCTAGGGTCTTGATGGGGCACTTTGGGTACTTTGAGGCCTGCAAGGACCTAGGGCTGCGAAGGGGATGGAGTTGGAAGCGCAGGTTCCCGGACTGAATTCCCAACATGAGAGCCCTTGGTGATGCGAAGGCCACCCTTGAGAAAATTCATGCAACATAGCATCCCTGAGGATGTGGCCCTTAGATGGAACCTGAGGCCACTGGGAGATGCCCCCTGCCTCAGTGAATGGGGTCTTGTGTGTGCATTTCTGAGGCCTGCACACTGTTTTCAGGGCTTCTGGGTCCATTGGCAAGGGTCCATACAGTGGCTTTCTGCTGCCCAGGCCTCTGAGGGGTGCAGTGGGCAACTAAGGCCGGACCTGGGCCTCTCAGCTCCAGGGGAAGATCCATCTGCTGCAGCCTCGCTGGCTTTAGAAGGGAGAGTCCCCACAAGAAGGGAACTGGCCCTGAAACTTGGGCTTGCAGAGGACTCCCCACACAGTGGAAGGAAGAAAAGAGGTCTGAAGCAGCTGGCTGCTGCGAAGCAGCTAGCTAGGCCTGGAAAGCCACCTGCTTCAGAACACTGATGAGTGGCCCACCACCAGCTCACTGTCCAGGAGGAGAGCAAGGAACTGGTGCCTAAAACCAGCCTCTAGCCTCAGAGACACCTGTTTCTGTGAACATGTTGTGGTTTCTAAACACAGATATTTTATTCTTGTAAATGTTTGCATTCCCCACTTTATGGAAAAATGTTAGCTTTAATCTTTCTAAAAACAAAAGAGTACTTTGCAGCCCATCTCTTCCTCTGCAGCCTTCCTGCCTCCTCTTGGGTGTATGGGCAGATGGACTGGCTTTTTCCAGGAATGTCAAGGAAAGATTATTGCCAGAGGGAATCAAAAAGGACAATTCCTAAATGAAATCTCAGAGTGGATTGGAAAAAAATAGGATGTAATAGATTCTAAGAGCATTTAAGATCTAGGATGTTCTAAGAGACAAGTGATAAGCCTTACTCTCAAGCTGCATGGTGGGTGGAAAGTATTCCAGATCAAGAATCCAGTTCTCCCTGAAAGCACCCACATTTCTTTGGCTGTTTTTAACAGAGAAGGAAGGCTGAAATTTCTCCCAAGAGGGATTAGGTGCAGGCTAGTAGTGGCAATTATTGAAATAGTTCAAATTTTACCTGTTGAGGTTCTATATATGTGATAAGAATTTGTACTGTGTACTGTGTTTAAATATTTGTAAGTTTTATCAGCTACTTCCTCTTGTATAAATTGGCTATTCAAGCTGTTCACATTTTTATTTTTTTGTGACAATTACTGATTATCAGGTTATAAAATTATCAGTTATAAAAATGAAAGGAGGTTATTTTTCAATAATAATACATGAAAGTAAAAGCAGAAAATCTATGTAACTGCATAACAGAGAGGAGTACTTCAGAGTAATTCCATCCAATCTGTTTTAAAAAAATTTTTATTTTAAAGGTGTGGGGTACAATTCAGGGTTAGGTATACAAATGTTCATTATGTAGGTACCCTTGTTGATGAGGTGTGCCCCCCCTTCCCCTGGCAGTTTCCCACTACTGCTAATCCCGCCCCTCAACCCCTCCACTTGGCAGTTTCCCACTACTGCCAATTCCTTTCTTATAGTATTATGATTATTGTTCAAGGTCAGCTTATGAGTGAGAACATGTGGTACTCAGTTCTTTGTTTCTATGATAGATCACTCAGTATTATAGACTCTAAGTCCATCCAAGTTACTGCAAAGTTCATAATTTTGTCCTTCTTTATGGCTGTGTAACATTCCATTGTGTATATGCACCACATTTTTTTTATCCAGTCCTCTTTCAATAGGCAGCACTATTGGTTCCATGTTATTGTGAAAAATAAATCATTCTCATGACAAATTTTTTAAAAAGGGAGATTAAAGTGTTCCCACCACAGTACATGAATTCTGGCCCAAATTAGTATCTTGAAATTCAAGCAAAATATTTAAAGTACAGAGAAAAATATTAGATAAAGAAATTAGGGGCCAGGCATGGTGACTCTATCCTGTAATTCTTGTACTTTGGGAGGCCAAGGCAGGAGGTTACTTGAGCCCAGGAATTCAAGACCAACCTGGACAACATAGTGAGATCTTGTCTCTACAAATTAAATTAAATTAAAATTAAAAAGAAAATAAAAATATGAGAAATAAAGGATGAAAAATTTCCAAATTTGATGGAATCTATAAACCCACATATATAAGAAGCTTGTGCTTGGGCCATGCTTTAAGACTCACTGATCCAGTACATTGTACTTTACGTATAGTTAAATATAAAGATTATTTTTAACCAAAAAGTAATCACCTCTCTTTTGGGGAGGAACAGTGTATTTATGAACAAATAAATCTTTACTTTCAACATCTCTTCTGAAAACATAAGAATTACAAATATGAGGATTATATCTTTTCAAAATTTGTTAAATAGTAAATTCTTTTATCAGCAACTTGAATTTTGAGGTTGAAAAATTGTAAATATTATGAACAACAAATTCCTAAGGTTTTTCTCTTAAGATTAATCTACGCTCATTATAGCAGTAGAACTGTGGCAAACCCTATTGCTTTTTAAGAAGTATATATTGATGAGTTATTTTAATTCAAAATTTGCAGTAGCTGAGAAGAAAAGTAGTTTGTGATTTCATTGGGTTTCTAAATTCAGTTTGTATCTCCCTCCCAAATTCTGTAATCGTGTGTGTGTGTGTGTGTGTGTGTGTGTGTGTGTGTGTGTGTGTGTGTATAACTGTATAATCCTAGATCCCTTAGAATAAGTGAA